AATGTGACGCATGTAATACAATGTTTAGCGGTTTCAGGTATCAGTCTGATCGACTCAATGTAGATGTACGTTGTGGTACGTTTTCTGAACTGGAATCCTATGATTTCCATGACCACCTTTTATATTATGGTGATAAGAATAGTTCTCCGAGGTGTCGTGCATGCCAAAGGGGAGAGTTGTCACAAAAGATGCTCGCTTGTGATGATTGTGACTTTGAATTGGATTTCCGGTGCTTTAATTTGCCAAGGGTGGTGAAGCATAAAGACGACGAGCCTCCTCTTTCCTTATGTTATGGCGAAGAGGATCCTAGTTGTAAATACTGGTGTGATATTTGTGAGGGTGAAACAAATCCGAAAGAATGGTTCTACACTTGCTCTCACTCAGGGGTCACACTTCATGTCCAGTGTGTTCTTGGAGATTTCTCTTTTCTCATGCCTAGACGCATAACGAAAATATGGTACTCCTGCAAATTTGAAGTGGTTCCTAACAACCACTGTTTTCGACCGTTCTGTGCCATTTGCCAATCTCGATGTATAGGCCCTTTCTTTCTGAAGATTTCCAATCCCGAAATCATATACATCTGCTCTAGATGGTGTTTATATAGAAAGTTGCGATTTTTGTAGAGGTCAGATCTACGATTTAGTTATACTATGCTGTTTTGTTATTATACTAAACCGATCTAATTCCTGACATGATATTCATGTTGCAGAAAATTATAATTAAGTTTTTGGAGAGACATGCTAGGCGAAGCGGTGGCAAGATCCTTCACGTGTGAGAAAGCAAAATCCACGTTATGAACACTGCTACGTCTTCTCTTTCTATGTTATGGTGTTCTCATTTTAATCTCATATGCTTTCTGTTCGTGGTTTGTAGGACAGAGTAACGCTCGTTCTATCTCCATTATGCCTTTTGCGTCCATGTTTTCTATCTAATTGGTTTATGAATAAAAGACCTCAGACGGTTTGTTTATGAACTTTTTTCTTTTCTTAACAACTTTCATATTTGTTATTTTATAAATTTTCTTTTATGGTTTTCTGTTTTTTTTAACAACAGAAATTTATTAATTAAATAGTTGAAAGATAATACTTTTTTTTATAACACATTTAGATTTGAAGAATACGAAATGATACAAAAAAAAGCAAAAAAAAAACAAAAAAGATAAGATGAGATGTCATTAGACACCAAACAAAAGGGGAAGGGACCTACCAAATCTCTTGAGCAAATTTGCTCAATATACCAAAAGAAACTCAATATTAGGGATATGCTATGGTTTTAGGGGAAAAAATAGTGAGAGGGGGGAGGAGAGACAAGAGAGAAAAAGGGTAGATAGTTAATTTAGGGGTTTAGTTTGTATATGGGATGAAAATTCTCATCTCTTTATTGCTGAGCCTCCAAAGCGAGTAAGTGATGTAGCAACTCCAGTGCATTTCGAGCGATGTAAAATTGGTGGCGCAGATCACGAATGACACTTAAAGCAATTGCCACTGCAGCTTCATTGCGTTTCGGAAGGGTGTGATCCACACTCCATGAATCTAACCTTACCAGAAGAAAGAGATATTGTGGCGAAGATGGCTGTGGCTATGGTGTTTATCAGGCTTTGTGAGTATGTAGTTGAAAATAATACTAATACATAAATAATAGTGAAACTATGCAGCAATAAATATCATAATTAAAATGAATAGAAGACGATCGTAAAAAAAGGGGTCTTCTTTATCAATATATTCAACTCCATGAATATTCTTGCGAGCTTTAGTTCTTCATCACATCACAAACACCAAATTCCTTTGTTGTGTAATACATTCATCTTATTTCAGATTAGAGCTATAGATGTTCGCCGCTGTATAATCCAATGTAATGATTCAATGGTGAAAACTAAATTTCAGAATAGCCAATTCATTGGTGAAAACTAAAATTCAGAATAGCCAACTTTCAACGACTCTAAAAATATTGTCATACAACAACAAAAATTCATCTTCTCTCCTTTTTTCCATGATGGTCTTCATACTTTCAAAAATACTTCAGATTTATCAATATTTTGATATCAAATATATTGTATCAAAATTTAGATTTTAAAAGATTATTCATCTGTTTCTGAAGTTGATCTTCTCCTCTTGATCTCATCATACAATTTCTTCCACCAATCTTGTGATTTTCCTTGATCCCAAATTCTTCGATCGATGCACTTGTTAGGATTTCAACTTTTGCCTATGCTCAAACTTAGAGTTCAATATCAAAAGCTCTTCCACTTTATTCACTATCAATGAGTAACCTTACAAGAACAAAATAGAAATCACAAGTTTTTTTAAGAACCAAAATCAAACCTATTGATTCTCTTGTTCACTCTCTATTTTCCTAGCTCTCGTATCTTTTGTTTCGGATGCCTTCTCAAGCTTAGATCACCTCTCTATTTATAATATCTCACCATATTGTATTTCTTTTTCCTTATTCTTTGACTGACGTTAAAGAGAATAAGAAATATACTAATATAGCTAAAATGTAAATATCACTTTTCTCAAGCTTGCTCCTTTACCTAATCACTTCTTCGTTGTGCTAGATCTGTCATCTCCAAAGAAGCTCGCGATTTCTTCTTGGTGATTAGCGAATCTCATTTTGGTGTTGATAAATCAATCAATATTACCGACCGTACTGCAGCTTTCCGGTAAGATTCTCTGAATTTTGAGCTGCTTTAAAGACTTTCACTTATTTCCTTGAGAAGTTGTAAGCTTTAACTTCCTTTTGACTTTGACAGTCATTCACGGTGACCCTATGGAGACTCCTCTCTTACTCTGACAAACCCATTACCACTTCCACTTTCTGGCAAGGTCATTCCTTTCTTTTTAACCTGATTAAGATGATGCCTGTGATGTTATACTTATTTGGTGATCTCTGTTTTGTTTTCCCCGGCTGTGATATTCGTCTCCCTTCAGCTCTCTTTAGTGATTATCCTCCACCATTGCAGTTGTTTAAGACTTCTCCCTTTTCCGGTGATCTATCTCTTCCTTTCCGACCTAAATACTCTCTCCCTTCAGCTTCTCTTGCTGTTAAATACGTTTTCTGGTCATCCCTTCACTTTAAATTTTCTTTTAAAGTATATTTTTCATCCGATGTTTCAAACTTTTTGAGAGACTTTTCTTGTGTTTCAGTTGCTCCACCTTGAACTAAAACCCTTTGCCTCGCATCCATACTCACATGTAACTCTCTTTAAACTCCATCTTGAGTTTTCCATTATCAATATAAAAAAACCGAAACTGACTTCAGCATTGATAATGGAGTTACCTGGAGCGACTTCCTTCTTAGGCGGAATCGCAGCGATCCTGAACCTCCTGCTCAGGTACTGCCTTACTTTGAAAATCTGCTGGATTTAGATTGGAATGATTCTGAGATAGTGTTCTGTCTTCTTTCTATCTCCAAAGATACCAGCTTCCAATATTCTTGAAACTTTTCCCTCAGCTTCATTCCCAAGTTCCACGTCCACATTCTCTCCAGCCTTCTCCCAATCCTCTTCATAGTCTTTAGATTCTTTTTTTATATCAAGCTTTTCTGTTGCAACCAAATCATGGGGCTAAGAGATCACCATCTTTATGCCTTGCTTCTTTTGCAAACAAAAGTTCATCCCTTGAAGATTCTGTCTGAGATTCTTCATTGTTTCTTTTAGATTCTATTTCTTCTGATTTTTCTGTCAAGAAAGACTCTCCACCTTGAACTGATGATTCTTTTGTTTCAAAACCGAATGGAGTAGGTCCATGTATCAGACATTTTGCAAATGTCACCTTCTTTGACTTCTTCTTTCTGATTTCTTTCTCCACTCTAGGTATGAACTTCTTACTCTTAGCAATTGTGCCTTGTAGATAATAAACTCCATCGTGATATTTTTCTGATATCACTTTCTTGTTATCTTTGTAGAAGTGCACCATGAAATTGCTTTCTTTATACTTGCAACCTGATCATTCTAGCATCCCATAGGAAATTAGATTTCTACTCACCTCGGGTATGTATCTAACACCTGTGAGTACTAATATAGCTAAAACGTAAATATCACTTTTCTTTGCCTTGCAGGATTTAATATTGGGCTGAAGTTGGATTAGAGAAAGAGTTAAACCTTGAAAGAGTTGGGCTCAATAAACACACAGCACCACTTACATCGACGAACAATTAGTATCATAACTGAAAATTGGCAAGATCTTGTCAAAATCACATCACGATGGATCTTTTCCACCACAGAGATAAAGAAAGCCAGTTCTGCATGATATTGTTACAGCTCAACTCCCTAAAAGAATGGAAAGATGCATCTGCGAATTTAGAAAGTGAACTTGAGGATGATCCGAATCCAGAACGAGTAGATGGATTCGACAACGAAAGATTTAAAGGATGTTATTTAACATCGAACACTTATCATGAAAATTCTACAGAGACTACGTAAAAACATCTTGAAGCTACAAATGTTGTATCATTTTGTATGCTAATAATGTTGGCTCTTTCTGATATACAGATAAGTAAATTGCTTCATATCTGCAGCTTGAGCAGCCTTGACTCAAGCAAGTGCATCTTCAATAACAATACACTGCAAAAAATTGTACATAATAAATCACTTCTGAAGATATGTAAGGCTCATTAGAAGAAGTATACATTTGCTCAACAGTAAGTATCTTAGCACTACAAGTTTCAACAGAGACAGACTCCTCGTTGGCAGTAAATATCTGGAGCTGGTTTGCGTTTGCGGAGAAACACAGCGGAGTCCTGGAGAGGAAGAGGTTCTTGTTGTGGGTTTTGATCTCCTTGATGATTGGAAGAAAAGTGAAGGTGAGGAGGAGGAGCAGAGTTTCAAAGCCATTACTTTTTGTGTTTTGTCGTTTTTCAGTTTTTTTTGGATGTCATTTACATCTGATAGTCTTGGTTTTTTTTTTTTTTTGTGGCGGGTGTTGATCTATCCGAATATTGGACGAAGTTATAGTACACATGAAAAGATAGAAAGCCAAAAACCCAAAAAAAAAAAAAAAAAACGATTCAACCATGGAGGTATCAGCACTAAAACTACCAATTCACAAACATTTTTTGTACCCTTCAACTCGATTTCTCTTTGCTCGTTGCGAAGGTTGTCGTGTAAGAGGTCACATCTACGGAGGCTACCGTTGCAATGATTCTGGGTGTTACAATAATGCTAACCCTGGTGGTTGGTTCCATAAGGAATGTGGCGAGTCACCATCAGAAATCAACCATCCTTCCCACCCTGAGCATCCTCTAACTTTCAACGCAAAGACAGGTTACAAACGATGTCATTTGTGCGGACGTTTAATCAGAAGTGGTTATTGCTGTGCGATATGCCATTTTGTCATAGATATGGCTTGTGCACAAAAACCACCGCCGCCTCAAGCTATTGAGCATCCCATGTTCCATGAGCATTCACTCGTCCGCACAAAGGAAGCACCGCTCATGGATCCTTGTAAAATATGCAAGAGTCGTATTGAAGAAGGATATCCCTATGAATGCCTTACTTGCAAATATGTTTTTCACTTGGACTGCGTCAATCAGTCAAGAGAGATAAACCATTCGTCTCATTCTAGTCATGTTCTTGAATTTTTCACATCTGAATCACTTCCAGAAAACGCTGAGAAGACATGTATTCTGTGTGGAATAGAATTACTACATGTGCTTTATCATTGTTCAAAATGCAACTTCAGCATATGTATTGACTGCAAGAGGAATCCTCCACCACTCACTATCGAGCATACCAAGACCCACAAGCATAAGCTCTCCCTCTTGGCAAGACGAGTCTCGTTTACTTGTAATGTTTGTGGGTTGCAAGGCGATCGAAGTCCTTATTCATGTGTTCAGTGCAGTTTCTTAGTTCATCGAGAATGCATCGACTTGCCTAGCGTCATAAACATCAACCGCCATGATCACCGCATATCTTTCACTGATCATATTGGGCACCGGGATAATCTAAAATGTGGAGTCTGTCACAAAAGTGTCAATCAGTACTGTGGAGGTTATACTTGCCCCACTTGCCCTGATTTTGTTGTTCATTCGTCATGCCCAACAAAACACAGAGTGTGGGATGGAGTCGAGCTCGAAGGGATCCCTGACGAAGAAGTTATTCCACCGTTCAAGGTAGTGGGTGATAACTTGATAAAGCATTTCAGCCATGAAAATCATATTCTTCGACTAGAGAGTGATGGTACAAGTACTCTTGATGAAATAACAAGATGTGAAGCATGCGTCTCTCCCGTCTATTCTGATCCGATATACAGCTGTGAGCAATGTGGTTTCATCCTCCACGAGACATGCGCCAATCTTCCAATAAAAAAACGACTTCCGTTTCGCAACATACAGTTCAAACTATATGCTCCCGAGATGAATTCCTACGAAGCTTTTGAGTGTTACGCATGTAAAACACTGTTTAGCGGTTACAGGTACAAGGCATATCGAATGAGTATAGATGTACGTTGCGGTGCGTTTTCAGAACTGGAATCATATGATTTCCATGACCACCCTGCTGTATATTATGGTATGGAGAAAATGTATTTGAGCTGTGGTGCATGCCACCAAAGGGGAGAGATGTCACAACATATGCTCGCTTGTGATGACTGTGACTTTGAGTTGGATTTCCGATGCTTTACTTTGCCAAGGGTGGTGAAGTATAAAGACGACGAGCCTCCTCTTTCCTTATGTTATGGTGAAGAAGATCCAAATGGTAAATACTGGTGTGATATTTGTGAGGATGAAACAAATCCGAAAGAATGGTTCTACACTTGCTCTCATTCTGGGGTCACATTGCATGTCCAGTGTGTTCTTGGAGATTTCTTTTTTCTCATGCCAAGACGCATGATAAAATATGGTCGGTACTGCAAATTTGAAGTGGTTCCTAACAACCACTGTTCTCGACCGTTATGTGCCTGTTGTCAATCTCGATGTAAAGGCCCTTTCTTTCTGAAGATTTCTAATCCCGAAATCATATACATCTGTTCTGAAAAGTGTTTTAAAGAAAAGATCATTATCCCATTTATAGAGGTCAGAACTACGATTTAGTTATATTATTATGCTGTTTTGTTATTATACTAAACCGAACTAATTCCTGGCATGGTATTCATGTTGCAGAATTTATCTAAAGTTGTTTGAGACCGGTTTTAGCAAGACCCTTCACGTGTAAGAGAGCAACATTCGCGTTATGAACACCATGTCTTCAGTCTTCTATTTCTATGTTATGCTCATTTTAATCTAATATTATTTGCAAATAATTAAGTGGTGATCTGCTTCCTGTTCCTGATTTGTAAGACCGTGTATTGCACGTTCTATCTCCATTAGGATAAGAGAACATACATTATCTATATTTTTGCGTCCATGTTTTCTATCTAATCCGTTTATGAGTAAGAAAACTCAGTTGGTTTGTTTATGAATTATATTTGTTATTTTATTATCTTTTATAGTTTTCGGTAGCATAGCCATTTTTATTTATTTTCAAAAAATAGCCCTAAAATATCTAAAATGAGTTTTATTAAAGGTAAATAAACGCTTATATTCATAGAGTGAAATATTTTAAACTTAGGGTTTTGAGATAAGAGGTGAAGTTATAGAGGTGAGATTTCAAATTTTTTAAAAATTAAAAATTAAAATTTTCAAATAAAATAAACTATTTTAATATAACTACTTTTCATTAAAAATAATTATTTCAGATGTTGATTTTCATCTCATATTGTATCCCATCGTACCAATTTGTTCTGTGAATTTAACGGAAAAACTTTGTCAGGTATGGTGAAAAACTGGATTTGGCAGATGTTTTTTTTTTCAATTTTGATGGAAACTTTTTGTTGTTTACAAAAAAAAAAGATATATTTATCTAACATGGCTCAATCCTATCAAAACCCAGCCCTAAGTTGGCTATAAATTCTTTATAAGTAATGTATTATGGGTTTGAATGGTACAGATTTTCGCTTTAACCTATTGCTTTAAACGGTTGGCTTTAGAAATTACGACTGTTAAAACTCTTAGTATTATTTTAAATATTTAAAAATTAAAATTAATAACCAAAATCATAAAAGCAGTAAATATATTTTAAATATTTTGTTATAAATATAAAATTATGATAATAATAAAGAAAAAACATATATGAAACCAAAAGGTATACAATATGGATCTCAAAATAACGAGAAAAAAATAACAAAGATTAATTTACCAAATATATTTTATAACAAAATTAATATAAAATAATTAGTTTAGTTATTGTGGGAAAGAGAAAAAAATACTTTTTACAATAAAAAAAAAAAAATCTGTTTTTATTTGTAAAACCACTTGAAGGAGTCTCTAGGCATTCTTTTGAAAAAAGAAGAGAGAAAAAACTTTGAGAACTTTAGAACATTTAAAATTTAAAACAAAAATCTGATTGGTGAAAAATAGACTTCAAAAACTTTAGAATTAAGTCAAAGCTTTTAAAACAAACCCCAATCGGACCCTAAAGTTAGAGCACCTAAATTATTTGGATGCACAGAGCCAACTTTAAATAACATTCCTATAAATATCTATTATATATTTCGGATACTATATCAGGTTTCAGGTTTGGGTCAGGTCAACTCCAAAACCTGTGGATCCTCCACAACAAGATCCAAAAGAGTAAAATGATTTGGATGTGCAGAGTCAACTATAAATAACACTAGATTTTGGTCTGCGCGCCCGCGCGGATGTAGTTTTCAAAAATATATTGTTATTTGTTTTTTATATCAGTATATAGGTGTCATCATATAATTAATAGTATTTTGTACGTATCGTAATATAAATTATTGCTGAGTTTGCGCTCCGAATTGAATCATTTTTTTATTCAAAAATTTGATACGCAAGTAGAAAATTATTATACATGAACCCGTCCTGTTTAAATTAGTGAGTAAAATTTTAATATTTTTATCACAATATATTTCAAAAAATATATTCCAAATCATTTAAACTTTACTTGGCATCATAATATTTCAAAGTGCGGATATTTTTTTTTAATTTTATAAAAAATTGATAGTTAACGGATTATGTGTTTTGGTATGAGATAACCTACTACGTTTATGATTAGTGAAAGTTTGTTTTGCTTTGTAGTTTATAAAACAACAAAGATATTCATTTAATATAGATTTCTATACTTTTTAAAATGTGGGTTTAATATTTAACAATTATTTTATTGATTAACAAAATAAATTTAAAATATCTTAGGAATATCATCATATAATTAGAAAGTTTTTGATATATTTTTGTAATTAAATTAAACAAATTTTCTATGATAATGATTTACATTAAAAGAACTGTCCGAGTTCTAACTTAGAAAATAAATATGAAATGTGAAGATAATGAGTTAAATTGAGATTAATAACAAAAAAATAACTGTTAAAGATAAAAAAAATAAAAGAAAGTGAAGAAAGATCAAATCATATGTACCTTCAAAAGAGGAATCATTATCACAGATCATCTGCACATAAACCAAAATCAGAAAACAAAAAATTATGTGTATATATATAAAGTCTTAACATTCTAAAATAAAATAAATTTACTAAATCCAAAGCATAAAAATTACATCATAAAAATCGAGTAACTTCGTTTCTTTGTTGTTAATGTCTTATATATAGTAAATTGCTAAACGTTTCTAAAGGACATAGCTTTCACGAGAAAGTTTGAAATAAAATATTCTTTAATAAATTTTCAAAAATATGATACTTATAAAGTAAGATTATTTTCGGAATATCTTGTTGGTAAAGGTAAAGAAGAATATTTCCTCACTCGATTGTACCAGAATTTTGGTTGACAAATTTCACTATAAAAATTAAATACTAAATACATGAAATTATGAGAGAAGATATCTTATCAATTGATTTTACAACAAAATTTTGAATGACATGTTCGATAACAAATATTTAAATGTAAAATATATATTAGATAAAAATATAAATATTTAACAAATAAACATTGGTTCTTGTTTATATGTTGTTTACGTCATACTACTATTAAATTGAAAATAGAAGTCAAGAAAACTTACCAATACAATCCAGTGTTTGAAGGTTGATATCAAATAGTTTAGATTCTTGTAGCGACTATTTTTTCCATAGCTATTCCAATGAAATAAATCTGTGACAATAAAATGATCATGATTAGATCTAACCTAGAAAATAAATATGAAATGTGAAAATAATGAATTTACCTGAGATTTATAGAAAAGACAAATGTTTAGTTCGTCCTAAAAAAAATGTTTAGTTCATAGGAAAAAACTAAAGAAAACAAAGATGATCAAATCATAACCTGTAAGTTACAGAAGTTTGATTTATTTTACAAAATGCTGCAATCTATACACCCTACAAAACAAAGAAAAGTTGAATAAGATATTGATGGGAAAATGAATTAAAAAAAAAAATCAAACTTCTATAACTTACATTTTCATCAGCAAAGACCAACTCTAATGTGTGGCCTCCATAACTGGTGTTTTGTTTCCAACAATAAAGAACCTTATTGCGAATTTGCCAATTATCTATGTAAGGTTTAACACTCGTTAATGAATACAAAAGTGTTTGTTTTTGTCATTTTTTATTGGAGGTGATAGTGAATGTCAAATGATGAATATGAGAAGGACTATATATACACCTCATATTTTAGGTAGGGCGTCGAAACAAATATACTCTCCAACAATTCAGAAAACCAATTACTAGTCTATAATTAATATCAAATCAAGAGATTTTACGCAAAATAGGTTGACTTGGAGAAGGGATAAATCCATAAAGGATTGTATATATCTATCGAATTGTGCTTTATAATTAATACCAAATCAAGAGCTTTAAATGTAACCGAGATTTTCTGTTTAAAAAGAATAAGAATATACTAAGGATTTTGGTAAAGAATAAAAAGGTGAATTATAATTATGTTCCAAATAATTATAAGATACCGAATCATCACTAGCTTCCTAAATAATATATAACTTCTTAAACAATAAATATAATTAAATGCGTAAAGATAAGATTAGACTAACAATAATATCATATCGTTATTAGACTATAGATTTATAATATGAGGTCCAACTTAAAATTCACCTAAAAGAAATTGTAATGTTTATGTTTTAATAAGATAGGTTCCTATAAATATCTAATATATATTTCGGATTTTTCGGATACTATATCAGTTCTCGGGTTTGGGTCGGGTCAACTCCAAAACCTATGGATCCTCCACAACAATATCCAATAGAGTAAAATGATCGCTTATGTTCCTATATAAACCGGAATTTTTGGGGTCAGATTATTGGATCCAGGTAAAATGCTCATGCCTAGTTGGAGTTCCTTAATACTTGCATTCAGGATTTTAAGTTTCGATTTATCGAGATAAGATGTCTGATTTTGATTTGATTTTGATTTTGATTTTTCAAAGATCATAGTCAACTGACAACCCTAATTTTAGGTTCTAGGTGCTGCAAGATATTTTTAGAAGCAGAATATTTCAAGAAGTCATTTTACTTATGAAAACGATGTTTTTGAGCCTTAAGATAAAAATCCAATCTAAATATCTCACTTTGATAATACTCATTTTTTATCACTAGTTATAGTTCTGTACTGAATCAAGTCAGTAATGACAAGGCAACTATTTCTCTTATGTATATAAGATCGTATCCTTGTATGCCAATGATTGATACATATAATTTAAGAGATGCAACTATCAGATATCTTCAGAAATATCCATAAATTTTCATTGAGAAAACCACAGTTGCCATGAAAATCCATTACAGTACAAGAGTATTTTAACATCACATGAAATAGGCAGCTTGATCTCAAGACAATATGAGGCTGATTAGGCTTCTTACCAGGAGCCTTGAGCACCAGCAGTTGGGTTGTGGAAAGCCTGGAACTCCCAAAAAGTCTTCAATGAGTAGGGCTGAGAGACAGTCACCCCTTCCTCCGTTATCTTCGCTATCTGAAGCTTGTTAATAGCAGATCTGTCACGGTAAAGAAGCACACGCATACATTTCTCAAGGAGCTTCACGCCTTCTTCGAAGCTCAGATCCGCATGCCACTCATCACGAAGAATTGGCCTAGCTAGGTGGTTTCCAAATCCAGTTGCAACATGATTGTCCTCGAAACTAACACCAATCATTGACACCTATATAGAGAATCAAACAGTTCTAAAATCAATAGTCACGTTCATAAGAAAGATTATGTAAAAGCCTTGGGACGTTACCATGCCAAGGTAACTTTCGCCCTTTTTGACGCCTCCAAGGACGAGAGTGTTCCAGAGAGGGTTAAACTTGTTGCGACGGTTGTACATGACACGTGTCAGATAGTTGTGAACCTCTTTTGGTCCCAAAGAGTTACCATCATCCCACATGTTATCATTCAAGCTATATGTAAAAGAAACAAAGGCTTCTGTCGTCAGATATGACAAAACAGTTGAAAGATTAAGAAAAGAAGAAGTAGTATTCGTATTTTTACACGAGCTCATCAAGATAACGAAGAATCTCCTGAAAGTCGCTGATTTCTCCGCTGGCACCGAGAAGTGAATGCTTACCAATAGCCTTCATTCTCTCAATGTTTTTGTATCTTAACGTGGATCCATATGAACCTGCACATTCATAAATTCACCATAAACCTTTAAACTAACAAAGAGAAGAGGCCATTAGCCAAAACAAACACACAAGGAAGGTTAAACTAATGTCAAAACAAAGCAGACTCAAATAGCCAGAAATAACATCTGTTATGCATAATGTTGTTAAAACCTAACTCAATCGAAAGATGCACAAAACTAACTTGACCATCCCAATTTACAAGAAATCATATGCAAAAAGCTCCACTATAGACATCTTGAGTAATGACTTTTAATGAATGTATACAAAAGAGCATGAAGACAACTTTATTGCGAATTAAAGTTTCTAACTTTCAATCAGGATTTAAAAGAACACATGATATCTCGTTGGAAAGAGACACCTTTAAACTAAATCTTAAAGAAAATAACAACAGAGCGACAAGAGCAATTATTTTTAGCTGAAACTAAGGAAAAGAAACAGACCACCCATGTCGGAAGCCATTAGAACCCCATCTTTGTACTTGATTGCGACAATCGATGTCCCAGTGACATATGGGTACCTAACAAAATTACATTCCAACATAAAAACACTAAAACTGTATCGAATAACCTTACGTAAAAGACAATAGAGAGTGTTTTTTTACAGTGTTCTTTGTGAATCAGCTTCTGCGTTCTTCACGGAATCTCCATTATCAATCGGAATAGTAAACTGCACCAAAAAAACCCAGAATCAGAAGCAAATACAGTAAGGAAAATTGAAGATTTGAGACTTGTCGGACTTACAGTCATATTTTTCGTAGTAGTAGGCGGAGAGAGAGATTGGGTTCTTGTTCAAGATCTGAAAGCTTTGATTTTGCTTTACCTCACTAAAAAAAGCTTCGGTGATTTCCTTTCCCTCAAGAAACAAACTGAATCGGGTCTGACCAGCTAATTGGCCGGTTTAATCCGGTTACTGAGGCCCAAGTCCAATTTGTTGTCTTTAAGAATGTTTCAAATTGAAGTCTGGTGTTTTTTTTTACAGTTTGCTTTTTAGTATAATTCTGAGATGGTTCTGTGGTGTAAATTAGTCGCATTTGTGCTAGAAAACAAATAACTGAGAGTAACAAATAACAATTCTTACAGAAAAAACTTTAATTACGAAATCAATTCCATATAGAAGACTGAAAGGCAAATCGAGTCAAACAAAAACAAATTGTAACTTTCAATATTTCTTACATCAGTAATGTTGGAACTCTTTTTACTCTACACAACTATGTCAAACGTATCACAAACAAATATTTCAGAATCATCTCGACCTCTCCAATTCTATTCATCTTCAAAAGCTCCTTAGGTCTTTGGCCAATCCAGGAAGCTTTTACAGCTCGTCACTCGGAGTTTCATACGTAGACTGTTCCTCAGAAGTCTCATACATAGACTGATCCTCAGAAGGCTCATACGTAGACTGATCCTCCTCAGAAGTGTCATATGTAGACCGATCCTCATAACTCTCTCCAGATTGATAAGCCTCAAAAAAAAAGTTCACACCATTCACAACATCATAAACCATCAGTCCAACTCTCGCACCAATCCAATTCCCCAAATGACTTCCCACAAGATACCCAAACCTCCCAAACCTCTGCTCCCCAACATACCCTCCTGAATAAGCCCCAACCAAAGTCCCAGAGCCACGCAAGAACCCTTCAGTCAACGTCCCTCCAAAGTAAAGCGCCTCAAAGAAATCCCACCCGGCTGCAACTATCGGTCCTATGATCCGTTTCGCTTGCCGCGTCGCCATCTTAGCCGCCTTTGCGCCCGCGTTCTGAGCGTCTTTGGCTGCTTCGTTCGCAGCCATGCCTTTCACCAACGCCTCGTGTAAGGCTTTCTCGATGGCGATGTTCCGTGCTTTCTCCACGTGGATAGATCTTATGCTGTAGAAATATAGCTTGACGCCTTCTTTGACCCCACAGGCTACGGTACCTGAACTCATGTCAAAGCAGTTGAGGAATGTGAACTGTCCACTCTTTGATGCAGCTTCTACTCCAACAAGTTCCCGACATTTTTCCGCTGTTTTAACATATTAAAAGAAAAAAAGAAAATATTTCAGACATCCCAAGAACTCATGTAACTAATTTTAACCCATAGTAATGTAATGTAAGAAAAACTATATGGTTCCGACAATTAAGCAATTTGAAGATTCAAACAATAATTACACAACACACTTTCATACGCCAAATCTAATCTATGAGACAAAGAATTAAACTTCCTTTTTTCTAGAACCCAGATCTTTAAAAACAAATCGAAACTTCAGTTACAAAGTTAACGAGCCCAGATCGAGATTTTAGCACTTAGAGGAACAAATTGGTGAAAAAAGCGATACATTTACAGTACAAAGACATTGATTTAACATGAATATCCAAAATAAAGAACAAGAAGTTTGAGGTTGAAGAAGAAAGCACCTGTGATACTGAGAGCGACGATTCCGATGGCGAAGAGGAGAAATTGAACCTTTCTACTGCGGAAGTCCATGAAGAGTTCACGATGCCAGATTTCTTAACCCTAACACACAGATTTCCCCCAAAATTTTATCTGGGTAAAAGAAAACAAAGCGTTTGTGTGTGGCAGAGGGAAAGATTATTCAAAGCAATGTGAACGTGGAGACGGTTAGCTAATGAAACCCGATCTTGGTTTCGCGGAAAATTAATTTTGTTTGGTTCAAGGATATCCCGATGGTTAGTAAATCAATGCTATTAAAAATGAAAAAACTTGGATTTTACAGCTGAGGATTTTATTTATACTAGGTTTTTTGCCCGCACTTGCGGGCATAATTCTCTTATGAATATTTATTAATTGATATTTCATTAATTTAAAAATCAGCATAGTAAGTTACTATTTATGTTTTCAAAAAGTAAAAATCAAACATCAAATAATTACCAAATGACAAAACTCAAACTTAGAAATATTTAAAATAATATACTTCTATAACTATTTGCTTGATTTATATTTAATTATAATATTTATAGCTTAATGTTAAATTTTATATTAGAAAAACATATTTTCAAGATAACAATATAATACATAAGTTATTTATTTTCTGAAAATATAATATCATCATTTTTAACTAGAAAAACATAGATTTTTTACATGTTAATTTTATAATAGAAAAATATTTTTTTCAAGACAACAGCATAATACATAAGAATTAACTTATTTTCTAAAATATCATATTATTAATATAAATTAGTTTGAATTATATAATCAATAATAAACAAAATTATAGAAATTCTAATAAATGATCAAAATTACCTAGGATCATGAAGACAAATCAACAAATTCACTTTTCAAATAATTGTTTTGATGATTTATATTTAATTATTAATAATATAATTTTTATATCTTAATTTCAAGTTTTATAACAGGAAAATATATTTTCAACATAACAACATAATCCATAATGATTATCTTATTTTTGAAAAATATTAAATTATTAATATAAATTTGTTTTAGTTATATTTTAATACTAAATTATTAATATAAATTCGTTTTAAATAAATATAATATTGTTTATATCTTAATTTAAAATTTAAGTTTTATATATAAAAATATAGTTCAAGATATCAACATAATTCACAAGAATTATCTTATTTACTAAAAATATGATATATTCATATAAATTCCTTTTAGTTATATTTAAATATTAAATTATTAATATAAATTCGTTTTAGATAAATATTATAGTGTTTATATCTTAATTTAAAATTTAAGTTTTATATATACAAATATATTTCAAGATAACAACATAATTCACAAGAATTATCTTATTTACTAAAAATATGATATATTCATATAAATTCGTTTTATTTATAAATAAAAAAATATATAAATATTAAAAATATGATAAATATACAAAATTACCTAAATTTATGGCGAACATGACAACTAAGCAAATTTACTTCTCAAATAATAGTATAGATATCTGAGTCCTATAAGATTTTACGTTGCTGGTACTCTATACTCAGATCTTATATTATATAAGTATTAATAAACTATTAATTAAATTTTTAAACTTAACAGCATATAAAATATTTTTATATAATAATAATTACTAAATCAAAGAAATTCTATTTTAATTTATGGTTATTTATATATTAACATATCTAGATACTCTATATATTTCATAAAAAAATATTATTTTAGATTTTTTCCACACAAAAAATGGTATTTTATAATTCCAATGCACTTTATTCATAGATTAGAAATATTATTTCATATGAAACATAAAAAATATTCATTAAAGTAATAAAATTTTTGATTGATCTAACATTTAAAATAAGATTAGAGAGAATGAAAATTTACTCTACAAATAATAGTATAATTATAGTCATTATATTTAATCTATTTTATATTTTAAAATCTTATCTTAAGGGAAATTATTCGTTTACTATACAAAATCTTTTGTTATTAAAAAGAATCTATATAATAATAGTATACTTTTGAAGCTCTTTAGCGTGTCCACGTCAGCAAGTTTGCGGGTCCCGTGTATGTTATTAGGAGAAAACAAAATGTATAACATTTTGTAAGATTGAATGTTATTGATGAGTGATGAAATAGCCTAGTGATGTAAGTTGGTGACGAGAAGTTGGTACCGCGAGTACGCGGATTCGAAACGCAGTGCTTGCATAAAATTTTTTTTTTTAATTTGGGCTTTTCGGGATACCTAAAAGCTTAGAGAGATTTAAAATGATTTTTTATGCTGGTTGTTGGGATACAAAATGACTTAAGGATTTGAAACTTTATGAGACCATCTTAGATACTTTTATAAGAAAGGTTATCATGTTCTAACCTCCAATATCATTTCAATTTAGTTATAATCATCAAATAAAATAAACACATATTTTTCAGTAATAAATATTTACCCTGAACCATTCAGATCGGCCATAAATCTCATATACATCACAATTAAAAATATATATATATATATATATATATACAACATAATTTCAGAAAGAAACTTACAATAATAAACACATGTCTTTTTTTGTCTTGATCTCTATTAAATTAGTTTTTTGCATGAAAGCACTAATAACAGTAATGCTCGATAAAATCACTAATAAAGGAAATGTTCGATAAAATCACTACGAAGATAAAATATGAAAATATCAACCCATTTGAATTCGATGTTTATTCTTTTATCAGACTAATCAAGTTGTGTGACTTCTAATGTTTCATTCATCACCATTTTATATAAGCTAGATAAACAAATGTTAAAGAAAAAACAGTAAAGTCTTCTACACAAAATTATACAAATTATCAACAACGTATCTAACCCCGCGCTTGCGCGAGGACTATGCATCTAGTAGATTTTAATGGTTTTATAAATCTATTAAAGTAAGTTTTATTAGAAGTTATATATTCTTAACATTTTAACTCACATAACAAGATTTTGAGAATATAACTTTTTGAATATATCTTTTCATGAAACATAGAAAATATTCATTAAAAGTAATAAAATCTTTGATTGATCTAACTTTTAAAATAAGATTAGAGAGAATGAAAATTCACTCTACGAAGAATATTATAATCAATACTATTAAAACATAAGTAGTTTTTATCTACTTGCAAGCAGTCTTGGTTGGACTATTACATTTATTTATTTTATGTTATTTTACATATAATAAATTTATTATTATTAAATAAATACATAATCTTAACATACTAATTAAATATTCAAAATAAGATATCAAAATGGTATTCTTAACTACTTTTCAGATTTTATTTTAACATTATGTTTTAATATATTTTTATTTTAATATATAAATATTTATTTCTTTAAAATTATTTTAATAATAAAAATCATAAATAATATTAAATTCAATTACAAATAAATATAAAAATATTTTAAATTATAGAATAAGAAATAACCTTCTATAATATATATTTATATATATATATATATATATATATATATATATATATATATAAATATCTCATATTTGTTATTACCAATTAAACTAAATAATTATTATACAATAACTTAATCTATTTTTTGTCAATTATAAACAACATGAATTATATTTACAAAATAACAGATATTTATGTAATTTACAACATACTTCAACGTATTAAAAACAAAAAAGTAAAATAAGATATTTAAAATAAGAAATAATTTTATATTTTAATATACATATCTAAATTAAAATATTATGTTTTAATAATATAAAACACAACACTAAATTTAGTTGACATTAATATTATTTGATTATATGGTATACTGAACTGTATATTATGATTTACAATTATAGTTTCTTGTGACATATTTCATAAAGGTGTAAACAATAAAAAATAAATTCATATTATACCATTAAAATTTTTAAATATAACTAAAATTAATATGAGGTGGGTTATATAAATGAATTATCTTATTTTCATAAAATTATATTTATACACACTTTAATTTAATGAATATACTTTAAAAACAAAAGTTTCTTTATAAAAGTACATATATATATATATATATAATTTATATTTTGGGTAAAAAAATTTAAATAAAAATTTATATGCCATATAAATTAGGTTTTAAGTTAGACTTGAGTGTTCAGGTATCCGTTAGGATACAGATTGGGTATTGTAGTTTTAGTTTTAATTTATATCACATCATAGGTTTCATTATGGTAAATTTATAAATACGGGTTGGGGTTTGGATATAACACATTGATTTTGGTTCTAATTTGTATCACATCTTACAACCATAAAATAATCATGTTCGCTGTTCAAGAATTCTTGTTTAGGCAGTTCGTACCATCCATACATAGTGTTTTGATCTAAGATTTAAATTTTTCCATGTTTCCGTCGTAGCATATTGTTCCATGGAGCTAAGTGGAAGAAACATGTGTTTCTACAACTCTACCACCCAGTTAATTCTGTTCCAGAATTCCATCTGTTTTATGGGTTTGGAAAAGTACGGATTTTCAAGAACGGGAATCTTATGATATGTTAGATCGTTAAAATGCGGTTTATACTGGTTCGGTGCAGATATTTTCGAATTTTAATCCAAAATTTTAAAACAAAACATAATAAATAAATATTTATTTACCTATCAAGATATTTAAGGTAATTTTTAAATTTTAAATATTTATTTATAGATATCACTCGAAAATAAATATAGAATGAAATATCCAAATTATATATTTTAAAAATATTTATGTTCATGATTAATTTGAACATTCATATCGGTTTTTCAAAATTTTACAGGTTTTTTCGAGTTATCGATTTGGCTTGGCTAATAACACTTCGAAGTTTGATATATTTTGTACCACTACCATCCTACAAGACCACTTATAATATTTTTTTATATTTTAGATCGAGTAGGGATAAGGTTTTTGAAGTTTGGCTTCGGTTTGAATTTCAGATCATGGATTTTATATTCATATCACTATAATATTATTTGAGAAGTCAGTTTCCTACGTGTCGCGCTCACGTCACGATGGTTGATTACATAGATACCTTTAATGAACTAAAAATATTACTCCATCCGTTTCAATTTAATTGTCATTCTAGAGTTTTGCACACAGATTAAGATTACAATTAATTTTACATATTTTCAAAATAAAAACACAATTACCTATACACCTAACCACTTTTTAACCAATGAAAAAATTAA